CCAGAGCCAACAAAAGGACCACCAAAAGGCAGCTATGCCTCCCTAACCAAATGAAGGGATAACTGAAATAAATATGGTTTTCTTTTTGGATGGCAAACTTGATTCCACCAATAACATTCAAGTCAATCAAGCCTAGCAAAAAGGACTAAAAGGGGAGACTGATTCAAACACATCACAAACCCACGGCTAGGCACCAAATAAGTATCAAATTGCAGCCTCATAAACTGTCAAATCATTCCATCACAACCACATATGATTTTTGGGTAGGGACCACACAACACATCCAACACAGGTTCTCGGATAGGAGCCGAAACCAACTAGAATCAAAAAGAACCAAGCCATCCCTCTGATAGGGATTAAAATCAGCAAAGCCACCTCTCGGGTAAGGAGTAGGAATCAAAGTCAGCAAAGGTAAAGTGAGCCAACACAGTCCATCTTAGAACCGAACTGAGCCCAACAAGGGTAAAATGAGCCAACACAGTCCTCACCCTAGAGCCAATCCAAGTTCAGTAAAGGCCAAACCAAGCCCAACCAGGAACCAAACTTAATCAAGAAACATAGCCAAAGCCAAATCCGACCCATTTTTAAAAATTTAAGTTTGGGGGAGGGAAGAAAAAGATTAACTATTAGATGTCCTTTATTTCAATATTTTCAAATATTATTTATATGATTTTATGTAGTGAATTTAATTTAGGTAACTATATTTTTGTAACTATTTAAATATAATGGTAGATTTAAATAAATATTTTTGTAATGAAAATTAATTTTGTAACTTAAGATATTTAGTATAAGAGAATAAGAGTATATTTAACTATTTAAAGTAAAGGAAACCATGTTTTGAAGTATTAAGAATCTGGAAATTCATTTGAGAAGAAAAGATTGGGATTCAATGATGTGAAAACTATGAAATATTTATAAGGTAAGAAATGCTTTGAGTTTCAAATTTAAGGAAAGAAAAGTGAAGTTCAAAATCATTAAAGGCTCTCCAGATATAGTAATCCTCACTTAAAAAAAAGAAAAAGGAAAAAGAAAGGATTAAAAACAATCCAAATGAAAGAAAAAAAGAAAGAAAAATGAAAGTGAGGAGAAGCTTGAGGATATGCCTAATCAAAAATTGGCTCCACTAGACCTACCTACAGGGAAAACTTAAATACATTCCTGAACTTATATTTATGGAATAGGTCTTTTACTAGTAGAGTTCTCATGAAGTTCTTATCTTTTGAATATTCTAAGTGACTTAATATTGCAACATATAATCATTCTTGAAATGAATAAAGACTAGAACTCCTAAACTTGATGACTTGATAATCTTGTGGCTACAGAGTTAATTCAATTACTTGAATTTTTTCTGAAAA